ATGTAAGCTAATAAACTGGCCTTACAGTTTGTCTAAAATCAGTGAAATGAGAGCTGTCTTAAGAGATTATGTTCTTAGTGATTAATGCTGAGGAGATGCAGTTGTTGCATTTTGGTGTAGCTGAAGCTTAGTTTAATGCTGAAATGCTTATGGTTAAGGTAGTCCAATGGCAAAATACGAAGAGGGAAATGGTGACGCCATGGTGGTGGATTAGAGCAATGAGCTTCTGCGTTCTGGCTGGATGTGACTAGTGTAAAGCTCTGCTTCACAAGGCCAATTCTAGAGCCTTAAACCATCCAGAAATCCTGGATAGTGCATAGGTAGCAATTCTGATGGATCAGGCTTCCTGTGCACGCGTGGTGGTTATTTCTGTATTACTGAACGAAACAGGGCTGGCAAGTGAGCTTGAGCTCAGTGGCACTAGTTGACTGTGCACAGCATTTAATTAGCTGCACTCTCCATGGCACTGTTTTGAATGGAGCCAACCAACACTCTCTAAGACAGTGCCCGACTGCAGTGTGGGGAAAGTATATGCCATTGACAGAGTTCTTGGGGACTGCACCCAGTTTGGCTCCTTCAACAACACATCAACACTCTTCCAGTAAGCTTACCCCAAAGCCCCAAAGCCAAATTGCCCCTTTGCCCATGTCTCACTCTACCTAGCATGGAAAACACCCTCACACATCTATGAAAACACCCTCCACATCTATGAAAACATCACTCTGATGGGCTGTCTTGCAGCTCAGATACATGAAAAAAAATATAATTATATTTTAAAGCCAAGGGCATCTCCTGAGGCCTGGAGAATACTCAGATCCAAGTGAAAGCTCCTTAGAGCTTATCCAGCAATATTGCTGAAGTCAACAAGATGATATTCACTGGAGATTCAATGTTGAGTTGCTTTGGCCAGGCAGGAGTGATACACTTGAGTGGCTGCATCTGGACACAACACATGTGGCATACATGCTGTCTCAATTCAGACTTAACACTATTGGCTGTGTGACTCTTTAAGGTGAGAAAAGGAAACTGTGGGACTCAAAGCTAGGGATGCTGGGAGATTATTCAACTTTAGGACTGAATGGTTGGGGGTCTTAGCCTGAGCTTGATGCCTGCTGCCAGAAGTGGAGTCTTCCAAGTGCCAGTTGGAGCAGTGTTTTTTCCATTGCAGTGACCCTGTGCAGTAAATTGTGCTGAAGAAATTGGGGAATAAAAGATCTTCGTCTTCTATGCCTTTTTCTTACTATAACTTTTTTCAACAAGGATCCAAAGTAGGCAGGATCCAAATCACAGCAGAGGAAGAAAGGAGGACTCAAAACTTTTGTCATTTGGGAGGGTGAATATGGCTGGTATGGACAACCTTTGAGTTGGTCTCATTTGTCAAATACCATAATGGACAGCGTTCTTTAACTATTTTTTCTAATGCTATTCCCAAAAGACAATTTACTTATAAATGAATGGTCTGAGCAAAACCTCTAACTTAAGTTCTGAGAAGGTAGGAGGTTGGGAAGATATTTACAGCCAGTGCTAACTTTATATGATGCAGTTCAGGAAATAATCTCCAGGTATTAACCAACCAACTCATATAACAAATCTCACAGGTACCCTTAGGCTGAATAGAGAGAGCTGTATCTGAGCCATGGTTCACCCGATGTGTGCGTCATGAAGACAGACACCATGCGCAAAGGGTATTCACAGGATCGATAACTGAGGACACACGTTGACTCTAATGAATAAAAAAGTTAGTTTGAGGGAGAAAAAAGAAGAAAGCAGAAGGAAAGAGAGAGAGAAGGAAAAGGGAAGACTCCTCAGTTGCCAGCCTGGAAAAGAAATGGTAGGGTTGCCAGGTGAGCGTCCTATCCTGGACAGGTTCTGCAGTGCTGTAGGTGTCCCTCCGATACTCTTCTCACAGTAACTGTGAATTTTCATCCAAACTCAAACTCCTCATTAGCTGTTTCTGCTTATGATGCTATTAATGCTGGTTGAAACATATTTTGACCCGGAGTAGTCATTGTATGCTACTTTGCTGGTAAGCTTTGAGCATGCATAGCACTTTCAGGTACTTAAATGGCTATTATCCACTTTGCTACTAATTCTTATTTTTCCCCCTAACATAAAGCAAGGAATAAGAAAAAGGAGGAGCAGGGAAGGAAGGGGTGGTTGTCAGGCTTGGGGTAATTGCTTCTCATCAGAACCTGCTTTAACAATGATATCGGGGTTTGCAGGTGCGAGGCCATGGGAACAGCAGCATGAGAGCAACAAGAGGAAAACATAGACACAACAATTTATCTGAAAGGTTACAGAGCTGCAAGTGAAAGGCTACAGAACTGCAAATGTAAACTTTAATATTACCGGAGATAAAGGCATACAAGCCATTGGGCAGCAATGTCCCAAAACTGTATAGCAAATTCTAGCATATGCAAGCATATTTTAATAGCAGTAGTTCTTATGCAATTTGGTAGGAAGAACAAACTTCCATGGGAACTGTCATTTTCTTTATTACGATATTCATCTCACTTATCCTAAGGTGTTCCACTTTTCACTGTATCATAGATGGTCCGTGTTAGGTTTCAGCATCTGTCATGGTCCTGGCTCAGGATACCTAGGCGTATTCTTCAGTGTTCTTGTTTCCTGCTTTTAGGGGAAAGCAGGAGGGCTAGAAATCCTCTGGTGAAAAATAAAAGCTGAGAGAGTGCAGTTTTGTACTGAGGAATTTTGCTTCTGCAGTGTTAATAACCTCTGTGAGATTTGCCCAGCAGATGCCAGTAGTGAATTAGTACAGAGCTTGTCAAAAGTTAAAGCAGCTGAATACATAACTGTTGTGCACAGACATACTGCTTAAAGTATGATTGCTTGAAATGGATTGACTTTTTTATTAAGATTAATTTTTACTTATTTTACTTATTAAACTATCACTGTACACAAGTCAGAAAACATTCAGGTTTAGATTTGGTACACAACCCCCCAAAAATGGCCTTCCAATTAATGGGATTAAGTTATTTATTCTAAAGACATGTTTTAGATTGAGGTTACCCCAAATCTTACATCTCTTCACCTTCCAGTTCTGCTCTCTTCCTGTTTATTGTCCCCTTCAAAGTGAGAGCATAACTCTCCTTGTTTACTCTCCCTCTCAGTTTGAGTTACAGATTTGACCTGACATTTGGCTGTTCCTTTTTGTACTGGAGGGAAAAAAATCTAAAGTCATATGATATTATCCTTCACTTTCATTGAACCATCTGGACTTCTGGAACCAGAGCTGAAAACTGTCAACATCTCTTGATGTAAAGCAAATAGACTTAGCTAAAAGGGGAAGTTAAAGCTGGAGAGTCACCCTGTAGAAAGTTTAGAGCAGTTCAGCACTGGAGGAAGGAAATCATTAATTGTCAAAAGAGCCCCATCCTGTTCAAAAGCAAAAGTATTAGATAGCTAATGCTGTTCCCTTAAAGATTAGGCTCATACTCAAGATTTCAGTGGAAACCAGACTTTGGTTTTGCTAATGTTCATTTTTGCTGTTTGCAAAGCTTATGTTCTAGACAGGAAAGAGAGACCTGGTCTCCTACAGACTTCCTTAAGACTCCCTTAATTTAAGGAAGCCACAGGAAGGACTAGTTACTGTGCTGACCTCTCCCTTAACAGTAAAATAATAGTTTATGATACATAAGATACAAGTAAATTCCAGATCCTCCTGGTACAGACCCATAATAATTGTGGTGATTGTTATGTACCTTCTCATAAAGATTTCCTTAAATTAAGGCACTAAATACAAACAAATAAAGGAATACTGTCATGTCACAAAGAGGTTAAAGTGCCTCATGATTTTTGGCTTTCGTGTGGGTTCACAGTGATAAACATTGAAAAAATGGACTTCAATAATAATATTTATTTTTTTATCCATGAAAAAGACTCCTATTTGAGATTGTAAGAATCCACTGAGAAGGAAACTTTGTATTAGGAATATTAAGGAACCATAGAATTGAAAATTCATTACAATACTGATCATTATATGAGTCTAGATTATTACTTGTCATTTTATGTTCTTGGCAATTAGCATCTCTCTTTTAAAATATTTTTTTTTCCTTTTGGCTCAGTTTCCCTACAAAACTGGAACAGTCTAAAAATCTCCCAGGCAAAATAAATTAAGACCTGAAATTGTGTCAAGACTTGTAACTGAAGACAAAGTTTCAAAACAATCTTTGTACAGAAATGAAACTCACTGTTTCTCCCTCTAACTCATCTTTCTACCTACTGTTTCCCTGCTGTTTCTGTCTGTAAATCAAATACATGCTCTTTTTCTTGCTTTCTGGAAGACTTCCAAAGGTTGTGGGGAAGTCTTACAGGAAATCTTTCCAAAAAGTATTTAGGACTTGCTCTTCCTGTAGAGATAAGACCCTCAGAAGTGTTTTAATACATAGTAACTGAAGCTGGAAAACTGTAATATTTGGTTTGGGGCATTTTTTTAAAATTAAAATATAGAAGTTTGGTTTTTCTTCCTGTTTAAGTCTGCATCAACAGCTCATTGCTATTTCCTTGTTTCTTTCAGTGAGTTCCAGATGTCCTAATAATTTGAGATTTATCGTAGTACAAATATTTATTTGATCAAATGAGCATGCATTGCATTCAGAGACTTCCGTATCAGATGATCAGATGAAAGTTAACACATTGTCTGCCTTTCATGAATACATTCTATATGGCTTTTATCTGAAAACCTGTCTTTTTGGGTTGCAAACATAATCCAGAAGAAAAGGCCTACACATATAGGGGAGATATGTCTCTAACTTTTTGGGTTCAGATTTTCCAGGTGTCCTGCATATATTCTTAATCTAGTTTTGTCTTGTGTGACTATTGATATGCCATGTAAAATGAATCCAGTCTTAGAATCCTACCAATTCACAGAATCAGAATTTTGTACCCGTGAAACACCACAGGTTAATTATACAGTATCTAAAACTATCGGCACTTACTAACTTTAAATTTGTTTCTTCTCAATTTTTCTTATTTTTCAGGGAGCATAAGTAGCAGTTGCTGACCTTTTTTTACATTCTTCTTCACACTCTGCAATTATACATTCTTTTACTGACCCCTTGGAAAACTCAACCCTCCCTGTTTAACAGGTATTTTGGGGGGTGCAGCAGGGAGTAGACATGAGCAAAAGCAGTCATGGCAACAGTATGTCACCAGTGTATGTTATACAACATTCTCAGAATTATCTGAACTATGCTATTAAGAGGAACAGCTGAGTTTCTGTCTAACCTAATATGGTTTCTGCTACTTATATGGTTTGCATATACTATTATTATTGTTAAACCTTCTCCTGCTTATAAGCTACATTGAAATACTGCTTAACAAGGAGGGGGGCAGAGCTGGAAGACCATTAGTGTTAGGACTGACTACTTATCTAAAGAAGCAAGCTGAATTTCTTGTTTTATATCATGTCTTTTGCTCCATTTGGCTGTGTATTAGGAAATGTTCAAATCTCTTATATCATATTCTGATGTTACTGAGATGAAAGCAGAAATGATATGATCAAGTCAGATACTAGTTGTTCAGTCTAGTGGACATACAGATGCTTTAAGGAGATTCTGATGTTAGCACCATGTATGCATTCAAAGCAGACGTTAAAAATATCAGTGTTAACAGAGCCAAAATGGGAGAGAGTGAGAGGAGGAGGGGGAAAAAAAAAGGTGAGTAATTCAAGGTATGTCTGCTCCTTTTCTTCTTCCCACATTCTTATTCACTCCCTGACTTCCACACAAGATAAATACTAGTGTTGTTTCTATTAATTTCCATTACGCTGCTGGAAAAACAATGCTTAAATCAGTGAAACTAAAATCAGTGCTCCTGAGGAGGGTGTCTGTTAACTTTTCCCAACTCTCCCAGGAGTTCTTAAATCCTCTTATGCTGTGAACCTAAATTAATTACTGTGTAAAAATTTATTTTTATCAGGCATGCAGCCCACAGAGCACCAAGGTTTGTTTCATAGATGGAGCTGGGGATGGAACTGGATTCAGAAGGTCCAAAGGAGCTCAGAGAGTATAAAGTCACTTATCTTTTAGTTCCACTGCTGTTATATGACATGTTCTGTCTAAGAATAAGTATTGTGATACCAAAATGGAGGTGTAGAAACAAAAAAAATCATTTTGGATTTAACTGAGATTTTAATCAGTAACACAAGAAATCCAGTTTATAGACTGAGAAAATGAGATTTAAAGATCACTAAATAGACACTTCAAGTAACACCAAAGCATTTAACCTTGTATATACAAAGATAGAAAATTCATATATATATATATTTTATTTATATATA